CCCCGCTGGGCAGGGCTTCTGATTGGCCACTGACGATTTGATTGCCTATGCAGATTAAAATAACATTGTTCAGTGGCGGCTGCCACCAGTGTCGGTTTTATTACCCGTCCCCCTTTCCCAGCACTTTTTAAATTACCCCTCGTCTCCCCTGTGTGCGGGCTGCCTGTCCGTGCATGGTTGGCCCCGCCTTTTCCGGCAGCCATTTTGTGGTTGCGCCCACTACCCTGTCAGAATTCCAGATGTGCCTACAGGCTCAGAAAGGTTTTGGCCCCCTGCCCTAGGATTTGAGAGAGGGAGGCACAGACATTTCTGGTAATCAAGGAATCCTGGTTTTACCACCGTATCACATTTCAACTTCCTTTCTTTTGCAATACTTCCGATAACCACACGGGGGGACTCTTGAGAGCGGCCCAAGAAGAGCCTTCTGTTTTTCCCTCTCTCTCTCTCATATAAAATACAGAGTTGATACATTTTCCTGAGTGAAGATGACCTTCTTTTTTTTGGCTAAGGTTTGCTTTTCAATTATTATTTAACTGTTCGGAGATTCATCTATTCCCTTCCACTGTTGTCTTCCACCAGTGAGCGAAGCCTTTTTTGTTTCGCTTGGCATTCCCTCCGTCGATCCTTCCTTCCTTCCCAATGTTTTTATGTTTTTCATGTATTTTATCTTAAAAACAAAACAAAAAAACCACCTGTTTTAATGATGGATTATTTGGGAGAGGGGGGCTGATATGAATGGTTTGGTGTAGTGGTTAAGTGCACGGATTCTAATCTGGGAGGACTGGGTTTGATTCCCCACTCCTCCACTTGCAGCTGCTGGATGACCTTGGGCAAGCCATAGTTCTGTCAGAGCTGTTCTTGAAAAAGCCATTTCTGTCAGAGCTCTCTCAGCCCCGCCTACCTCCCAGGGTGTCTGTTGTGGGGAGGGGAAGGGAAAGGAGTTTGTTAGCCGCTCTGAGACACCTTTGGGTAGTGAAGGGCGGGGTATAAACGCAATCTCTTCTTCTTCGTCTTCCCAACTTCACGATATTTTTTTTTTTTTCCAGGAACCCAGAAGTGATTTCTGATCAGCCATGTGTAGTTTGGGGCTCTCCTCAGGAACGATACACTTTTTGGAGTTGGCTCCTCTTTAACCCGTCACGCCCACGTTTGTGTGTGTCGCAAAGGTTGTGCAAGAGAAGGGCGTGGTGATCGACGTGTTGACTTTTGCAAATCCATCCCAGAAGGGGAAACCACTTGGTCAGCTCTGTGCAAACACCATCTATACAAAGAAGGGCCCAGATTCCATTGGGGGCGGGCGGGGGGCCTGCATAGTGTGGCAAGCCTTGCAGGTCAGTTGGTTAAGTGCACGGACTCTAATCTGGGAGAGCTGGGTTTGATTCCCCACTCCTCCACTGGCACCTGCCGGATGACCTTGGGCAAGCCAGAGTTCTTGCAGAGCTGTTCTCTCAAGGGCAGTTCTGGAAAGAGCTCTCTCGGCCCCACCCACCTCACAGGGTGTCTGTTGTGGGGAGGGGAAGGGAAAGGAGATTTGTCAGCCGCTCTGAGACTCCTTTGGGTAGTGAAGGGCGGGGCATAAATCCAATCTCTTCTTCTTCTCCAAATGGGACAGACCAAAGGCTGTATGGAGGGAACAATCCACTAATCCCCAGGCTGTCTTTCTCTCTGATGGAGATGTCCAGTTTCGGTTTTGGTAAAGAAAATTTAAAAGTAGGTTTTCTGTCCAGCAAAGTGAAAAAAATAGAGACAAGAAGCCAAACTCTCAGCCCCTCTTGGTATCTGAAGAAGTGAACGGTGACTCACGAAAGCTCCTCCCCTGCTAAGTCTTTAAGGTGCTCCTGGACCCTGGCCTCTTCCTACGGTCTCAGCCCCCTCCTGTTTGCCAGTTTGGTGTAGTGGTTAAGTGTGCGGACTCTAATCTGGGAGAACCGGGTTTGATTCCCTACTTCTCCACATGCAGCTGCTGGTGTGACCTTGGGGCAGCCACAAGTTCTCTCAGAGCTGTTCTGTCAAGAGCAGCCCTCAAAAGGAAGAGCTCTCTCCGCCCCACAGACCACCCAGGGTGTCTGTTGTGGGGAAGGGAAGGGAGATTATAAGCCGCTCTGAGACCCCGAGGGAAGGGCGGGGCATAAATCCAATCTCTTCTTCTGCCTACCTTTCCCCTCTCTCAGCCCACACACAGCCCAGGCTAGCTGGATCTCATCAGATCTTGGAAGCTAAGCAGGGTCGGCCCTGGTTAGGACGTGGATGGGAGACCACCAAGGAAGCCCCGGGTTGCTGTGCAGAGGCAGGCAACGGCACACGCCCCCCGTGTTTATCTCTTGCTTCGAAAGCCCTCTGCGATCACCATACATTGGCTGGGACTTGACCGCACTTTCCACCAGCAGGCAGATGGCACTGTAGGAACGGGCGCCCGACCACCACGTTTGAGTCCCCCCCCCCGTGCCGCCTCTCCACCCCCTTTGCAGACGCAGGAGCCAGGCTTCGGCAAAGGCCGTAGGCAAAAAGGAGGTCCCCATTTATGTGCTTCCTCAGTTCCCGGGATTCTAAATTACAGCTCGATCCAGGGACATCTGATGGCATCCGCTGTGCGGCCTTTCCCCACATTCTGTCACAAGTGTCTGCTGCTTTTGTGCATCCTTGCATGTCAGCACAACGCCTTCCTAACACACCAACCGGGCTACTGTGCTGATAGATCCATGCGGTGGCCAGCGCTTCCACCCAACGCTAAAACCCGCCTGCAGTGCATCTCACTGTTGTAGCCAGGGGTCATTTCCTGTGGGAGCGCACAGGAGCGGAGCTCCAGCAGTAAGGAGCAATGTTCCCTCTAAGCTGAGTTAGTGTGAGCTAGCTCACAGTTTTTTAGCTTCCGGCTCACACATTTTTGTCTCAGCTCAGGAAGGATGGCTCCAGAGCAAACTAGTTTATGCAGTAGCCAAATTGCTCGCTCACAACTTTAATGCCAGTAGCTCACAACGTAGAATTTTTGCTCACAAGACTCCACAGCTTAGAGGGAACATCGGTAAGGAGCCCAGGGGGCGGGCACATGCAACAAGCCCCACCCCTGCTCCTAGCAGCCCTCAGTCAGAGCAAGAAGCAGCCAGGTAAGTTGCCGAGGGTATCCCCCCCCCACCCGACCCACCTTGTGAGGGCAGATCTGCACATTCCCCCTCCCCATAGCTAGCAATCCAAAACAGTTCAATGGCACCTTTAAGGCCAAGGTTTATTCAGGTCAAGCTCTCCCTCTTCTGCGAGGACAGATCTGCACGTCCCCCCCCCCCCCCGTAGCTATCAATCCAAAACAGTCCAGTGGAGCCTGAGCGGTGGGTGTTGCCTTCTGACACACTTCCGGTGAAGGCAGGGGGTGTGGCATTTGCAAATTAGTTATGCTAATGATCTGCACCTCTTTTTCTACAGAATGACCCCTGGGTGTAGCCAATGCTCCCTCTAAGCTGTGGAGTCTTGTGAGCAAAAATTCTACTTTCTGAGCTACTGGCATGAAAGTTGTGAGCGAGCGATTGGGCTACTGCATAAATTAGTTTGCTCTGGAGCCACATCCTTCCCAAGCTAAGACAAAAATGTGTGAGCCGGAGGCTGAAAAACTGTGAGCTAGCTCACACTAACTCAGCTTAGAGGGAACATTGGCTTGGCTGTCGTGTCCAAGGCTCCCTCTAAGCTGTGGAGTCTTGTGAGCAAAAATTCTACTTTCTGAGCTACTGGCATGAAAGTTGTGAGCGAGCGATTGGGCTACTGCATAAATTAGTTTGCTCTGGAGCCACATCCTTCCCAAGCTAAGACAAAAATGTGTGAGCCGGAGGCTGAAAAACTGTGAGCTAGCTCACACTAACTCAGCTTAGAGGGAACATTGGCTTGGCTGTCGTGTCCAAGGCTCCCTCTAAGCTGTGGAGTCTTGTGAGCAAAAATTCTACTTTCTGAGCTACTGGCATGAAAGTTGTGAGCGAGCGATTGGGCTACTGCATAAATTAGTTTGCTCTGGAGCCACATCCTTCCCAAGCTAAGACAAAAATGTGTGAGCCGGAGGCTGAAAAACTGTGAGCTAGCTCACACTAACTCAGCTTAGAGGGAACACCGGTCGTGTCTCTAGTTCCCCCCCCCCAAAAAAAAAACTAAACCTTTGGGCAGAATGCATCATCCACTTTGCCGGCTCCTGTGGTTGGACTTACTCATGGAGAAACGGCTGACCTGGCTTCCTACGAACAGATAGTGTCATTCCCCATCGTCCAGCCTCAGTCACGGACTTCCTCTTAGAAAGCTGCAAACCAGCTGGAAAACTCCAGAAGAGCAGTTCTTCAAAAACCTCTGCCTTCAGGAAACTCTTTCCGTGACCACTGGTCTGCCGAGGAAACTCTGCTGACTCCAGAAGATTCCAGATAACTGTTCTACAGCTCACACCTAATCAGAGGCCCAGGCTGTGCCCTCCTTGAACGGGGTACGGGACCCCAGACTCCCCACCCACCCCAAAAAACCCACCTCACTTGCAGCTACAAACGGCAGAGGAATCCACAGCAAGAAGAAGAGAAAAGATTGGATTTCTACCCCGCCCTTCACTACCCAAAGGAGTCTCAGAGCGGCTTACAAACTCCCTTCCCTTCCCCTCCCCACAACAGACACCCCGTGAGGTAGGCGGGGCTGAGAGAGCTCTGACAGAAATGGCTCTTTTTCAAGAACAGCTCTGAGAGAACTACAGCTCACCCAAGGTCACCCAGCAGGTGCAAGTGGAGGAGTGGGGAATCAAACCCGGTTCTCCCAGATCAGAGTCCGCGCACTTAAACACGACACCAAACTAGCTTAAAGAGCAGAGCCGCTCCAGCAGATCACGGGATCCCTTAGGAACAACCCCGCCCCAGATATTCCACCCTGCCGTCCCTCTCGCTTAACAGAATGCAGAGGAAATGGGTCAATTAACTTTAAAAATTAAAAAAACACTTTAGGGATCACAAACAGTTTTGCAAATACATCCACACAAGACCTATGTTTCTTGCTGCCGCTTTTCCACATGTACCCACGCCTGTCCCCTACAGCATAAAGGGACAGGCACACACCCGCCGCCCCGTGGACCTCCCAGTACCTCAGTCACAGAGTCCCCTGCCAACAAGGGAAGATTCAGTTCACGAAATTGATGCTTCCGGCTAAGGTTTGCTTGGTTCTGACTTGCCCCGGGTGGGTTCTGCTCTCAAACACATCTCCTGCTGCGTTTTAGCAAGCAGGAGGCCGCCTGTTACACGCCCGGGCTTTCTAAAAGTGTCCCCCTTCATACATGGTTGGGTTCTGGGAGCCACCAGCCCTTGGCCAAGGGGAGGCCGTGCCAGTTTGCAGCGGGTGCTTTCCGTCAGCGCCGGGCACAGTCAGCACGTGACTGAGGAGAAGCAAAGTTTCCAGTAGCCGGAGATCAGTCACGGCACCCGATGACCGCCTGTCATCGGACTCGGGTCCAGCTCAGCCGTTCCGAGGGGGCCTCCTTGGCCCAAAACCCGGCTCACGGACCGCCGCCCCTCTGCCCCTCCAGCCACGCCCTTCGCAGCTCAAGAATCTCCCTGCCGTACCAGCTGTGGAGCTGGGAAAAGCCAGCGCTGTCCGGGTACACGAGGCAGTCCGTCCCAGAACCCCTGGCGCCACAGGAATTCCCCGAGGAGGCCCGTTTCCGTGGCGGCAAAGGCGGTGGCTTGAGACCCCCCTCGTGGCCGTCGCCCCCAGACGCCCCTCGATCGACCGGGGGGTATCCACTCGGCAGGCTGCGAGGCCCTTCACCGTTGTACCACAAGGCGCAGCCGTTTTCTTTCGGCGGGACGCAGATTGGGAGCGTGGGCGTCTCGTGAGGGAAGGCCGGCCCCAAGGCGGCCGGCTCCAGATTGGGAGCGGACTTGTTCTTCCGGTAAACGGGGGATCTCCTCTGGACCCGGTGGGCGCCGGCGAGGTGGCGCTGCATCTCTTCCAACTGCTTCTCTAGCTCCCTCACCACCAGCCGCAGGTAGCCGAAGCTGGCCCGCGAGAGAGCCTTCACCCACGCCTCCATGGCTGCCTGGCTCTCAGCCGCCAGGACGTAGGTGCGGGACTTGGCGCAGCCGAAGCGGATGGCGAAGGCGAACTCCTCGCTGGAGTCGCACAGCTCCACCGTCGAGTCCTCCAGGATGACGACCCCCACCGGCTCCCGGCTCTCCCGGTCCTCGAAGTAGAAGAGCAGGTTCCCCTTCAGCACGAACCAGCGCCGGTGGTAGGCCGTGTGGCGCTCGCCCTTCTTGTGGAGGAAGCCGGCCTTGTCCACGGGGGAGTCGCAGGTGGCGTAGAAGGCCAAGCTCCGCTCGTTCAGCTTCATCTTCGCCCGCCCCCTGGAAAGAAAGAGTAGAGCGGGCTGTCAGGGATGACGTGGGGGGGGGAGACATAAGAACATAAGAGAAGCCAGTGTTGGATCAGGCCCATGGCCAATCTAGTCCACCACTCTGTCACAAAGTGCCCAAAAATACCAGGTGCCATCAGGAGGTCCAGCAGTGGGGCCAGGACACTAGAAGCCCTCCCACTGTTGACCCCCCCAAGCACCAAGAATACAGAGCATCCCTTGCCCCAGACCGAGAGTTCCGATCTACACCTTGTGGCTAAGAGCCACTGATGGACCTCTGCTCCATATGCTTATCCAATTCCCTCTTGAAGCCATCCATGCTTATAGCCACCACCACCTCCCGTGGCAGTGAATTCCATGTGTTCATCACCTTTGGGTGAAGAAGGACTTCCTTTTATCCGTTCTAACCTGACTGCTCAGCAATTTCATGGAGTGCCCAGGAGTTCTTGTATTGTGAGAAAGGGAGAAAAGTACCCCTTTCTCTGCCTGCTCTATCCCATGCATAGTCTTATAAACCTCGATCATGTCACCCCTCGGCCGTCTTTTCTCCACGCTAAAGAGCCCCAAGCGCTTTAACCTGTCTTCATGGGGAAAGTGTTCCACCAACCCTTTTATCATCCTAGTTGCCCTCTTCTGCACTTTGTGGGAACAGTTGTGGGAACAGGAGGAAGGAGGGCTTAGCCGGCCCCAAATGGACAGAACAGGTAGCTGGCAGCACCGGGGGGGGGGGGGGTGATGCTCCAGGAATCTTACGTGGGAGACGGCTGCCACTTCTCTTCCTCCGGCCACGAAACGGCGGCTGCTTCAGTATAATGCAATACAAACCGGGAACCCAGTGGGTCACTTCGGAGCGGAGCGGACCGGACCGGGAGATGCCTTCCTTGCAGACTCCAAGAGAGAAAAGCGGTTCTGGTCTTTTCACCTCTTGTGGGGAGAGGCGGGCCTGCTGGAGGAACCAATTGCAGAGTCACAGCCTCAGAGCAAAGCTAAGACGGCAAGACCGACTGATAAAATACCGGTACAAAGTTCAGGTCCCCCGAGAGCTCCGCCCCTGATTTGAAGCTCAGCCGGAAACCCAGGTCACTAAGCGGCAGTGTTCCCTCTAAGCTGAGTCCATGTGAGCTAGCTCACAGTCTTTTTAGCCTCCGGCTCACACATTTTTGTCTTTGCTCAGGAAATATGGCTCCGGAGCGAACTCATTCATGCAGTCGCCCAATCGCTCGCTCAACACTTTAAGTGCCAGGAGCTCAGGAAAGTAGAATTTTTGCTCACCAGACTCCACAGCTTAGAGGGAGCATTGCTAAGCGGATCGATCCCCTGAAAGACCATTTCCTCTGGCACATCCCAACTAGGGTTCCAGGTCCTCCCTGATCACTGGTGGGAGGTGGGGGGGGGGTCGGGTTGCCAGATCCAGGTTGGGAAGCCCCTGGCGATCTGGGGGTGGAGCCCGGGGAGGACAGAAACCTCAGTGGGGCACAAGGCCCTGGAGTCCACTCTCCAAAGCATCCATTTTCTCCAGGGGAAACTGATCTCTGTCATCTGGAGACGGGCTGTAGTTCCAGGGGATCCTCAGGTCCAGGGCTCATTCCCTGCAGGAGCGGCGCTCCGGCAGTAAAGAGCCCAGGGGGCGGGCACATGCAACAAGCCCCACCCCCTGCTCCCAGCAGCCCTCAGTCAGAGCAAGAAGCAGCCAGGTAAGCTGCAGAGCTCCCCCCAGCCCCCTGGTCCAAAACAGTCCAGTGGCACCTTTAAGACCAAGTTTTGTTCAGGTACAAGCTCTCCCTCCTCTGCGAGGACAGATCTGCACGTTCCCCCCTCCCCAAATAGCTAGCAATCCAAAACAGTCCAGTGGAGCCTGAGCGGTGGGTGTTGCCTTCTGACACACTTCCGGTGATGTCAGGGGGTGTGGCATATGCAAATAAGTTATGCTAATGAGTTATGCTAATGAGCTCCTGCACCTCTTTTTCTACGAAATGACCCCTGCCCAGGTCTCACCTGGAGGCTGGCATCCCTAGTCCCAGCCCAGCACCAAACCATTCACAAGAAGGTAACCTCGATCCCTCTGGATTTTTGGAAGCCAGTGGCAACGTGCTCTCAGCGACGCAATGCTCTTGTGTTCTGAAGTGCTAAAAGCATGCGAGTGGGAGGAGGCGGCACTGACTGAATGTAGGCCACGGGAAAGGGTTTGGCCCCTTGTGTGGGAGGACAGGATGGAATCCGGATGTCGGCCGTCTCCGTTGCCCTACATAGAGGCTCTCTGAAGCTGCTTTCTGTTGAGTCCCGTGCTGGTGGCAACCAACGCTCCCTCTAAGCTGTGGAGTCTTGCGAGCAAAAACGCTACTTTGTGAGCAGCGGGCATTAAAATTGTGGGCGAGCGATCTGGCTACTGCATAGATTCGTTTGCCCTGGAGCTGTCCTTCCTGAGCGAAGACAAAAACATATGAGCTAGAGGCATTACCTTTTATGACACACATGGTCCGGGCCCAACGAGGTCTCATTTATGTCAGGTCCGGCCCTCATAACAAATGAGTTCGACACCCCTGTTCTAAGCTGTGGGGTCTTGTGAGCAAAAATTCTACTTTGTGAGCCATCTGGCATGAAAGTGGTGAGCGAGCGGTTTGGCTGCTGCCTAAATCAGTTTGCTCTGGAGCCCTCCCTTCCTGAGCGGAGACAAAAACGTGTGAGCCGGAGGCTAAGAAACTGCGAGCTGGCTCACATCAACTCAGCTTAGAGGGGACACTGCTTGAGTCTTCTTCTTTCCCTGCTGCTCAGGGGTCATTTCGTAGAAAAAGAGCTAGGGGAACTCATTAGCATAACTAATTAGCATATGCCACACCCCCTGACATCACCGGAAGTGTGTCATAAGGCCACACCCCCTGACATCACCGGAAATGTGTCATAAGGTCACACACTCCCGCCCCCAACGGTCCCGGCCGCCGCTGCCGGCCTTGCAGCTCCACTGCCGAGCCCCATGAGGGGCCCGGCGGGGGACCTGCAAGGCCGGCGGGAGGGCAAGGAAGCCCCGCGAAGGCTCTCCCTGGCCCCAGGCAGGCAGGGGTGGGGAGAGGCAGGGGGGGAGCAACTTACCCTCCCTCTTCTCCTGCCTCCTCCTGGCTGAATGAGGGCCGGAAGCGGGGCGGCCGGAAGCAGGGGGCGGGGCTTTGTCATGTGCCTCACCCCCCGTACCTCACCCGGGGGGACTGCGTTTCCCCCGCGTTCCCCCCTGAAATTACCTCTGCTGCTGCTTCCAGGAGAAAAGGTCCAGGAGCACCTCCAAGACTCACAAAACATGCGGCAGGATATGACTTTTTGTGAGTCACTGCCAATGTTCCCTCTAAGCTGTGGAGTCCTGTGAGCAAAAATTCTACTCTGTGAGCTACAGGCATTAAAGTTGTGAGTGAGAGATTTGGCTGCTGCATAAATTAGTTTGCTCTGGAGCCATATCCTTCCTGAGCTAAGACAAAAACCTGTGAGCTGGAGGCTAAAAAACTGTGACCTAGCTCACACTAACTCAGCTTAGAGGGAACACTGGTCACCACTCACTCGTCTTCTCACGATGTGACCCAAGTACCACAGCCTCAGTTCAGTCATTTTAGCTTCTAGGGGGGGGGGTTCAGCCTTGATTTGATCTCGAGCCCACCAATTGGTCCTTCTGGTGGTCCACGATATCCATAAAACAAGCTCACATTACTTCCCTTGTACACACGCTGCTTATCGAAAGCCCTGCCCCCTTTTAGAAATACTTGGTGGGCACCACGTCGGGGGTCCCTGGTGTTACTAGAACGTGGAAATGGTGTGTCACGGTTAGACTGACGTATTATGTCAGAATATATTCTCCTCTGAGGTGTAGTTTGGTGTCGTGGTTAAGTGCGCGGACTCTAATCTGGGAGCACCGGGTTTGATTCCCCACTCCTCCTCCACTCGCAGCTGCTGGATGACCTTGGGCAAGCCATAGTTCTGTCAGTGCTGTCCTTGAAAAAGAGCAGTTTCTCTCAGAGCTCTCTCAGCCCCACCGACCTCACAGGGGGTCTGTTGTAGGGAGGGGAAGGGAAAGGAGTTTGGAAGCCGCTCTGAGACACCTTTGGGTAGTGAAGGGCGGGGTATAAATCCAATCTCTTCTTCTCTCCTAAATGTCACGAACGTTGGTCCGCATTGCTAACATACTGGGGGAAAGATGGCACCCAATCTCTTCTCTCTTCTTCTGATTCTCTACTCCTCCACTTGCACCTGGCTGGATGACCTTGGGCAAGCCATAGTTCTGATAAGAGCGGTCCTTGAAAAAAGAGCCTCTTCTGTCAAAGTTCTCTCAGCCCCACCGACCTCACAGGGTGTTTGCTGTGGGGAGGGGAAGGGAAAGGAGACTGTAAGCCGCTCTGAGACTCCCTTGGGTAGTGAAGGGCGGGGTATAAATCCAATCTCTTCTTCTCTCTTCTTCTAAATGTCACGAACGTTGGTCCGCATTGCTAACATACTGGGGGAAAGACGGCACCCACCCGTAAGTATTTCCCAGCATGTTCTGATTTGCAAACGAAGCTGCAAAAGGAACTGACTGTTCAAGTCTGGTTTTTGCTTGCTTGTTCAATAAACATGACTTTATAGAAATGATGTTATTTATTTTATACAGCGGAGGGACCTTCCCAGCCAAGCGGAAATAAGCTCCATTCGCTGCTTTAAAACGTTATACTTCTACCTGTGGAAATGGCAGGACCCCAGAGAACCGTGGCTCTCCCCCCCCCCCAGAGCTGCACCCTCCTTGGGCTCCAGCGGGGTAATAAGTGGGGGGAAAGATACAACTAAAGCGGCCTTCGACTGAATCAGTTCATCAAGGTTAGTTTGGTCCAGTGTTCCCTCTAAGCTGAGTTAGTGTGAGCCAGCTCACCGTTTTCTAGCCTCCGGCTCACACATTTCTGTCCTCGCTCAGGAAGGAGGGTTCCAGAGCAATGTTCCCTCTAAGCTGTGGAGTCCTGTGAGCAAAAATTCTACTTTGTGAGTGACTGGCATTAAAGTTGTGAGCGAGCGATTTGGCTACTGCTTAAATTAGTTTGCTCTGGAGCCCTCCTTCCTGAGCTGAGACAAAATGCGTGAGCGATTTGGATACTGCTTAAATTAGTTTGCTCTGGAGCCCTCCTTCCTGAGCTGAGACAAAATGCGTAAGCTTGCTCACACTAACTCAGCTTAGAGGGAACACTGCTCCAGAGCAAACTGATTTATGCAGCAGCCCAATTGCTCGCTCACAACTTTAATGCCAGGAGCTCACAAAGCTGAATTTTTGCTCACAGGACCCCACAGCTTAGAGGGAGCATTAGTTTGGTCTACTCAGTCTGGTAGAGGCTCTCCAGGGTCTCAGGCAGAGGTCTTTTCAGCTTCACCCCCTTCCGGGTTTTTTTAACTAGAGATGCCGGGGACTGAACCTGCGACCTTCTGCATGCCAAGCAGAGGCTCTGCCACTGAGCCACAGTCCCTCCCTAAGAGAAGGGGGAGTCTGGCTCAAAAGGTTGTCAGGAACTACCCTGAGGAGGCCTGGCTCCAACGGGGGCTCAGGGCCCTACTGGTGGGAAAAGGGGCAGGATTTCTGCCACATACAATCTCGATGAGTTGTGAAGATCCAGCCTTGGGAACGAGTGTGACAGACGGGCCCCTTTTGGAAAGAGAGCCCCCCTCAAGAACCAGATGAGGCCACTGGGAATGTTATTCACCCCCACAATAGAAAAAGAAGAGGAGGAGGAGGAGGAAGAGGAGGAGATTGGATTTATACCCCGCCCTTCACTTGGAGTCTCAGAGCGGCTTACAATCTCCTTTCCCTTCCCCTCCCCACAACAGGCACCCTGTGAGGTAGGTGGGGCTGAGAGTGCTCTTGACAGAAACTGCTCCTGAGAGAACAGCTCTGAAAGAACTTGTGACTGACCCAAAGTCACACCAGCA